ACCACCCCTGACTACAGTTATTAAAAAAAAAAAAAGCAAAACAAAACTTTTTTTTTTTTTTTTAAAGTAGAAGTGTTGGCTTTGTAATCCTCAGGTGTTTCTGAAGAAAAGTTGGGAAGTGTGAAAGGCACATGTGTCAGTGCTGACTTTGTGCTTAGTGTAACTTGCTAGGGGGTCTGCAGTTCCTCAGGATTCTTGCTGCAGCCCTCTCCTTGAAGTGAGTTGCTTGTTGAAAATCATAAGATGCAAAAATCAAGACTATGGCTGTATTCTTAGATATGAAGTGGGAACCAGGTAGATGACATGGGAGTTCTGTTTTTACTGAAACCGTATGGTGGAAAAGTCAGTAAAAAGTAATAATATTTTATCTGCGATGCCATTCTTCAAATGGTTGTTTTTCTTGGAAATAGCTAAACTGTTGGGGAAAATTAAGCACTGAAATCGAAGGTCTGGTGACTATGTTAATAAAACAAGGGAAATAAACCACTTTTTATAATTACCTTTAAAATACACTGATAGCCTTCTAACATTTCTAATGAGACATTCTTCATTAGGGTTTGGTCATTTCACTATCATGTGGGTTGAGGATTACTAACAGGAAAGGATTGTCTCATTCTTACTATTAGCATTTGAATGTAATGTTTAATCTTGAATCCTAATAATCCAGACATATCACTGCACTCTTCCTGATGCTAAGTGTTTGACCGATGCTTGACACTTACTGGTTGTTGTGAAAACCTGAGTTAGGAGATTTTTAAATCTTCGCTAAGGAATAACCACACTATCAACTAAATTGTTAGTAATTGTAGGTAACAGTGATGACCTAACAGTAATTCGTTTAATAGGTAGCTATAACTATTTCGAGGGCCATTTTGCTTAATCACATATACCAGCATCTTCAAAGGTTAATTTCTTTTAAATGAAGCATTCAGGAGAGATTCGTTGTTTTGAAATAAAATATGAAGGTAAAAACATAATACTGTATCATTTTATGTTACACCATGTTGTGCAAATCTTTGATAGGTTTATAGACATCTTCCTTACATAGTAGAGAATATGCAACTTTTACTAGTGAGTCAGAGGTTTATTTGGCTTATCTAAAGACCTACAGGTAAAAGGAGAGTTAGCATCTAAGCCTAAATCTAGCCCTGAAACACTCAGTTTCCACTATTGGTGGTTTCCATGTAAAGACTAAGTTTTAGCTATACCACAATAAATATGCTCAGTATATTTACTACTGACTTTCATGTATAGATGCTTCTGTGTATGATCAGTAAAGTAGGATCAATAATAATGTAGTCACCTTAACTAGATACTAGAAATAGCCACTGTCTTATGGGTTGATGAAGTAGTTGAAGAGAATCATGATTTCAGTAGAAACAACTCACTTAAAATGACTCTTAAAAAGTTTTTTAAAGCTAGTTAATGAGAATTTAGACTTGAACTTAGACTTGATGTTATTGGAAACAACTTTGGATAAAAGATAGTCCATAAAGGATAAAATGGAGGAAAGTTAATTTCCTTAAGCAACACTGGTGAGTTCTTGAATAGCTTCATTGATTCTGACTTGATGTAGGCTTCAAGTATGGCTGCAGCCATATATATTTTGTGTTTTATTAATGAGAGGTTAATTGCTAGTTGGTTGGCTTGATGTTTTCCAGACCCTGTCTATATTAATCACGGAGATCTGGTAAGTGGAAATCTGCTTTGTGCCATGTAGCATAAGATTTAGAAACACTCATTTCCAGCTTCGAAATTGTACTGTGAGAAGACAACTCAAGTTTATTGGAGAAGGCACAGCATAATGCAAATACAAATGCCGATTGTTACAAGTGCGACAAATGGCATCTTTTGACCTATCAGTGCCACAATAAGGCATTTTTCTACCATTTGCTCCTGGTCCCAATATCCATGACTGAAACATGCTGACATTAGAGCCACGTGGGCCTAGAGAAAAATAACTCAGGTGCTCAAATTTCACTTTTCCTTGAAGAAACTTATTTGAGATTTTTTTTTTTGTCTTTACCTCATCTTAGTTGTTTTTGGAAATGGAGATGGCATTACCTTAGAACAATAGGATGATGTCTCCCAAAAAAATCTTGTCACACTTTGATTAAATTACCCAAGAAGTCAAAAAGTGTTCCAAATAATCTATGTCCTAGTAAACATTGGTGGGAATACAGATTTCTAATTTGGACCAACCATGTCAACCAGTGCAGTTCTATTTGAACATCTTTGTTTAAGATGTTCAAATATTAACCATTGTTTTCTGCCTCTGGACCTTTCATGAATAGGTCAATAAATTTATCTTTTCTCTAATCTACAAACATGTCCTGACTACTATGGTCTCTGCAACTTATCTGTCCTTAGAATGACTGCCTTTGATATGTCCTTGAAAAGGTTCTGCCTCTCCAGGTATACCTAAGTTCTCCTCGAGCAGAAATTTTTTATTCCATGCTAAGTCTAGGTATCTTTAGAAAAAAGAAATACTTCTTATTTGAAGAAAATGCATATATTATTTATTGTCAGAATAAGAAACCTATTTAAGATGATGTAGGTAAAAGGGGAATTATTTGTTATGAATCAATTATAAATGAATATCTGATGGACAAGGTAAAAAAAAGCACAGCTGGTTCTCTTGAGCTAATAGGACTAGGAATCAGAAGACCAACAGAAGTGAAGGTGGCTACATTAGTTTCCAACCTAACACCTAATAGAAGTTAATTCCTAGAATTAAAAATGTGTCCAGATAGTATCAACATAATTTGGTCCCACCAACGCCATAAGTACCTATTATTCATCAGGTTTGAATGGGGAGGAAGTCAGAGGAAGCAGTTAACTGGGGCAGATACTATCATATTCTTTATGCATGTGTATATTTAAGTTTCTTTGTTAATGGACTGCATGACTTCTGAAGGAAAAGGTCACTACATTATGCTGTGTCAGAATAAATGGCCATGGCAAAATTTAGGACCCCCAATTAGAACTTGAAATGAATCCCACAGTTGTCCACATCACTAATAGCCATTACCCTACTCCTGCATACCCACAAACCACCCCTGCTTTCTCTGTAAATAAGATTCATCTGCCAGTAGTTAATGGTTTCATAGAAGTATTTTAGACTGTATTGTTTAGAGTAAATTCACAGAAAAATTGGTGAAGGTAATACAGAGAGTTCCCACAAACTCACTTTCCCACTATTAACCTCATATTAATATGGTATGTTGGTTGAAATTAATTAACCAATATTAATGTGTTATTAAAGGCCATGCTGTGTTCCTATTTCCTTAGTTTTTACTGGATTTCTTTTTTTCTCTGTCTCAGGATCTCATCCAGGACACCATATTACAGTTAGTCATCGTTATTTCCTTAGGTTCCTCTTGACTGAGAGTTTCAGGCTTTCTCTTGATGACCTTCACAATTTTGAGGAATGTTGGTCAGCTACATTGTGCGATGCCCTCTATTGGAATTTGATCTTTTTCTCATGAGTAGGCTGCCCTTTGGTTTCAGGAAGACTACAGAGGTAAATTGCCATTTTGTCACCTTACAGCAAGTATACGTACTATCAAAATGATTATGACCGTTGATGATCTTGATAACCTGGTTGTAATATTTTATCAGGACTCTAGAGTCATTCTGGTAGGAACTTAACACAGTGTTACATACTGGAGGAAGACAGTCACATGCATTTAAGGAATGGGAAGTTAAGCTCTACTTCGAGTGTAGAGCACCTAAATTATTTGGAATTCTTCTGCATAGGAGATTGACTCAGAATTTTATACTTGATAATTGACATTTTTTTTTGTTTAAAGTGTTTTTTAAATTAACATAGTTTGAACATAGTCGTTTGAATAAAAGCCACACAATGATGAAAGTCAAGAATGAAAAAGATTTTCATTATATATGTATATATATATAATTTTTTTTAACCTCATTCTTCATTTTGTGCATTTTTTCATCTCAGTTGTAATCTCTGTGGACTTCCCACTACCATTTCACCCATGTGTCATCACCATAGTCTTGTGTGATCTTGCCCCAGTTTTGATCCTATTCTCTCCACCCCCATAGAACATCTCTAGTTTATAGTTGTTGATTTTCATTTTTACTTTATTGTAGTTGCTTTTTTTTTATTTTAATACACAAAAACAGTTAATGTGAGAGTACACTCAGTTGATGAGAGATCTCAAACTTGGAATGTGGAAAGCATTAAAATTTCCACAAAATGAAAAGCTACATCATAAATCCCTGAAAAGACATAAGTGGGAAAGTCCATTTACTTCTGAGGGTAGAGGTTGCATAGCAGCCTTGAAGACAGTGAGTTAGACAATGAGTTGTCCACTCGTACTCAATCTCCTTTGTGAATCTTATCCTACCTGACTAGGCAGCTGTCCCATTTCTTTGACAAAAACTCCTGGGAAAAGCTGAGCCAAGAGGACCTTGATGATGTGAGATCAACAAGGCAAAGTCAAGGGACAGTGGTTTATGCTAAATTGCTAGAACACCCCTACCCCAGCTCCTATCCCTGAGCTCTTAGAATACCAATATCCAGGCCTCCCTGGTGGCACAGGGGATTAAATTTCAGCCCTATGAAGTTATCTGCAGCAAGTTCAAGTTTGATCTCCCATCCCCAGCCAAGGAGCTAGCCCATATGGTACAACAGACCTCTTCTGTCTCCCCTACTGCTCCCCTCAGCAGTGTATTTCACTCAGTTCACCTGTTTTCCCCATTCTGCCTCTGGGGAATCCTTATCTCCACCCCTGCATTTCTGGCCTGCACCCCAGTTCTTGTATGCATAAATAAAT